TAATTTAGACTAGTTAGAATAAGTCAGTTATACAATAAAATCTTGATTTGATAGTAGGTTACCACATTAATTTAGATTGAAGCTAGATTGAGATAAAAATAAATAAGTAAATAAAATAAAATTGACAGTAGGTAATTAGTTTATACGGAAATGATATTCGGATTCAAAATTTGACTTTGTAACTTGTCATGATTCGCACACTTATGGAATTATACAATCAAATTTTTGGTGCCGTTATCAGGATCTGATTTATTTACTTTAGTTTTTATCGTTAATTTTAGCTTTGGTTTGACTTCATTTTTTCTTTTTCTTTCTTTTTCATATTTCTATTTTGGCTGATCTACTTGTTTCTCTTGATTTCATTGATAATGAACAATATCAAGCAAGAATGCAAGAAGAAAATGAGATGGGAGATCTCAAAATTGATGAAATTGACATGCCTAGAGGGGATTTCTCCATCCTACCACGCTTTAAATTGAAGTGATATTATGCACTTGATGAAGTTGATGAGGATAAGTACCTTTGTGATTATTATGGGGACTACCAAGTTTTCAAGCACAAGGCGTAAATGAAGTTGATGAGGATGATTTGCCATTTGAGATTACTATGGGCACTGTTGCACTACCAAGTACGTGATAAGCAGTACTATCCATATGAGCAACAACCGTGCTTTGAGCCTGGCCCAAAAATAGGGCGCCAATTGCAGAGCGTCACATCGGCACCCTATTTTTGGGCCTGACTTTAAGCCTGGCCAAGAATATTTACCCTATTGGCAAATATATAATCGACGTTGGAAGCAACAATCTAACTTCTTTTAGCCAAAAGGTCAAAATATTGAAAAGACATTGTACTACATCATCATAACTTTACTACTATTTAGTTCGTATCGTTGGCCTAAAAAGGTAAAAGACATTGTACTATTTGTGGCACGTTGTCAGAAGTTTCATATGTTATGGTACGAAACTAATCTTAAATAATTTGGTCATATTCATCATCAATGTTTAGGAGATAATTTATTGAGGAAAAAGGTTTCCTATAGTGTCGAGTGAAAATTACATTCGAAAATCAGAAAGATCCAAAAAATAGAAGGGAATAAAAAGAAAAGAAAATTGTTAAAAACCAAAATGTGTAGAGGCAGTAGCAAAATAGCTATAAGTGACGTCTTCTTTTTAAGTTTTGGTCACATGCTGATGATGAAAATAAGCTCAATATCATTTATTTAATACACATTCGAGAAAAAAAATTGAGCTCTTATTTGTTCTCCATTATTTTCAAAATACCATTTTCTCTTTTATTTTAGACCACACATTTTGTGAAAAGATAAACAAATTAGCCTATGTTTGGTTCATGGTTATATATTGTTTACAAACATTGATCACTTTTTATTTATGTATTTCGAGGAATCCACAAATGTTATCTACTTATTTATCATCAATTCTATCAATGTTTGATTTAAAAATTTTCTAAATACTTTGGAGATGCTCTTAGTGTAAATTAAGCTGAACAAACTTCACAATTAAAACAAATGTATTAAACATATCAATCAGGCTACAATGCCATCTTGGTTGACATATAGATTGACATAAGAATTAATCTATGTGTATATAGGTGTACACATAGAGGTTGACATAATGTAAGAGAGGTGGGACCTACGATCTTGTAACACGGGTCCCACCACACTCACATTATGTCAACCCCTATGTATACACCTATGTATACATAGCGCTTCCCTTGACATAATGTTACATGACAATTTATCCATATACATTTGTCAAAGAAGTTGTTAAAATTCCTCTAGTAAAGTTGCAAAATTCTAAACATATACATCTGTATCACTGTACGTCTGTACCTTTCATTTACAAGTAATTTGTCCTGTAGAATTTGAAAACGCGGAAATATTCCAAATGTTACCAGACACCTATGCATTGGGCTCATGGTTTTCCTAGAAACCATGGAATATTTGACATCAAGTAAATAATCGAACGAACTGTATGAAATGACGAAGTCGTCTTGGTGGGGTCTTTGCCGAAATAAGACGTGCGTAACTCGTTTTCATTCCGAAATTTATTATTAAAATGTCTGAATAATGCGCAGTGGCTTTAATTTGTTAATGTTAAAATATTCAGACTTTTCTGCTGTTTGAAGATAACAAATTGGATTCTAAAATTTTTTGTCTGGTTCGATCATTGTTTATAAATGTCAAATCACAGTCAAATGCAAATGGAATCGTATGTTGGCTTTCTGAAAATCAAATGCCGGAAATTTGGGGAACCACTAATTAGCGTAGAAAACGTGTGGCAGATTTGAATGATCAACACATGAATTTCTAGGATTAATTCCCTAAATGGTCATTAACTTTTATCAAATTTTTCCCGGAGTCACTGAACTTAAAAACTGTCCATTACCAATTCATCACTGTGTAAACGACATTAACAAAATTGGAAGGATTTGATGACATGTTTAACAATATGGCTTAACTGATATGCATTTGAAAACTATAAATAATTTTTTTACATAAATCATGTTATAATTAGTTAGAAACTATAATAATCTAACTCATAAAATTTGTGAAATTCAGATTTCGAAAAGCTCTACATTTGAATGAAATCACGCATTCAACAGTAATTAAAAAAAAAAACCCAGATTTGTATTGGACGACTTGTGAATAAAAAACAGCCACATACCTTTAAAGTCATGCTCAATGTCATCCTTCCAATTTCGCAAGTATCGTTTACGCAATAATGAATGATGTATTAATTTTCAAAGACAAGTGATTAACGGGTACGATTTTTAAGTTCAATGATCGAGTGGGAGCTTTGAAAGAAGTTCAATGACAATTTCAAGAACAAAAATGCTAAAGAAACAGGGTTGGTGACCGACCTACAAACAGGGGGCCTAGGTGGCGACACATCGGCCTACGATAAATAAAAAAGTTCAACAATATCATTTTCCCCTCAGTTCAAAATATGCAATGGAATATTTTGAAATAAATCATCATATAAAATGAAATATGCTAATTAATAGAAGGTCGAAACATAAGAATTCGCTAAAAAATTAGGATTATAAATATTACAATGAACAAAGATAACGAACATTCGGTGTAATTAAAATATGAATTTTGCTACTTTTACATAAAAATATACATAATGGATTACACAATATGATATGGATAGAAAAGATTTGATGAAAAATTAATTGTATTCTAAACTGACAAATGATAAAGTGTCACGTGATATTATCTTAATCCATTATATAAATCTTGATGTACATATAACAAGATCCTTAAAATATAGTGTACTAAATTAAAATTATAGTGTAAATATTCGAATAGTTAGTACTATATAATTATCCAAATAAAAATTTGGAATACGGCCTTCAATTTCCTCCGTAAAAGTGCAAAACCAAAACGGCAACGACTTTATTATTTAGAGGGATTTTTTTTTAACTACGAGTAATGAATTTCAATCATACATTTAATAAAATAATTTTACATATAAATAATTTTTTTTTTAATTTTACATTATTCAAAAAATTACTATTATAAATTATATTCTTCCAAAAATAGGAAGGCTGAAGCAAACCCATAATTATATTGCTACTAATTATTTCTAGATGCTAATCATGTAAATTATTAACTGCCTTCTTCAATCAAAGGAAAAGAATTAATTATTATTGCTTACCTTGTAAACTCCGAAAGTTCCTCAAAAAAAATGAAAATCAATTCCCAACATAATCCTTGTAATCTCAAATCACTTGACTTATCCAGTTTTTTGAAAAGAAAAACAGTAGGAATCAATTAGTAATATTCTAAGATTCCAATGCTGAAAAGTGAAATCTACCCACCGGTTTTCAATGAAACCGTCTTTTGTCCTCCTTCACTAAATTCGAATTCTAGCTTTGCCCGTTTTCCTAATTATTAAATGTAACTCCTACTTGTATTTTTTTTTTTTTGATATCCAGGTATCCTAACTTACACTAGACTATATCCTGGACCACCCATCCCCGGCCACTCAGTGATGGGTGGAGGTTAATAGCGGAATATGCCCAAATTGACCAGGGTCTGTGCACCCTTTATACTCCTGGCCCCAAGGGAGCCTTCCTCCATGGATATTACATCACCAACTCCTACTTGTATTGTTAGAATATTAACAAGTGATAGTTACAATTTCATGAGTATATAAAGAAGTGAAAATGTATATACAAAAGAGCACTCACACATTGAAATATTTACTCATTATTATACAACCATTTGGACAACATGGTTTGTTCAATATACTTCTTCATGTGGTCATATACATGGTATTAGCTAATGTTGTACACCTAATGAGTTTTATTTTGAAGTCATCTTAAGTCGTTATTGCCATGTCACACGAAGTTCAATACAATTTTAGGACATCGTTAAAAAAAACAAAAAAATCTTTATTCATTATTTAAACTTTAAGACTTAAATCTAAATGGTACATTTGCTGCTTTAATGATCTATTATTCATACTTGCGTGTAAGTTTAGAAGTCATAGGTACTCTATGTGTGAACAAACAGTCAAAGAATCTGGTTTTCCAACTAGCCCGCCCAAGAAAACTCGGATTCTCGTACAATAAATAGATCCTAACACAGATCAAGAATGTCATCAAAGATTTTATACGTAAATAATCCATGTTAGTGGTGTGATTGATTTCAGTGTGTAAATGAAGAATGTAAAATGGAAGTAGGCAGCATAAGCTATAATAGTTTGCCATGTAAAATTTTACAAGATGTGTGTGGATTATAAAGTTTGGGGTTCGTAAAATGAATGGATAAAAATATGTTTAACTAGCCTAAATTATAAAATAAATTTTGTAGAACATACACAATATATGAATCAAAAGTACTTCATATTTTTGGTGTATTAAAGTTTTTAAGTTTTGAATAAGAATTACGATAATAATTTGTCCAAAATTTTAGTAAAAAACTTGCAGATAAATTAAGAGATAATAGCTGAAGAATTGATTTCAGTGTGTAAATGAAGAGAATGGAAAAGGTTAAGCCCAGATTATGTTCTTCTTCAACTCGAGCTCCAAGAATTGAAAGAAAAATTGTTGAGAAGAACAGAAGAAATCGGATGAAGATTCTCTACTCTGACCTCCTCGGTCTTCTTCCAACTCATGGCTTCAAGGTCTCTCTCTCTCTCTCTCTCTCTCTCACACACACACACACACACACACACACATCCCATAACAGTTCAACTATCAATATCATGTTTTATTTAACAAATATGCATTTGACACATTGACTTTTTATGTACGTCTAAATGCAGAAAGCAATGCCATTACCTGATCAAATAGACGAAGTAGTGATGTACATCGAAAGTTTAAAGATGAAGGTGGAGAAGATGAAGGAGAAGAAGGTATCCTTGTCGCAAAGGAAAATATCACATTCTTGCATTGCAAGTGACATTCAAGCCAACACAAAGTCTCCACCACCTCTAGTAGAAGTTCAAGATATGGGACCAAATATGGATGTCATTTTAGTTAGTGGGCTCCATGATTTATCAAAGTTCTACAAGATAATTCACTTGCTTCATGAAGATAGTATTGAAGTTGTCAATGCAATTTTTTCTGTGCATGGAAATTCCACCATCCAAATCGTCCATGACAAGGTCATTATAAGTTTTACCCATTTCAGAACGTTAATTCCACCCCTTTCTGTCTCTAGATATCTTTCTCATAGTGTTAAATTACTTCCTTCTTGGAGAAGTAGTACATAACGCACCTTTCACTTGCAAATCAAGCTTTACAAGTTTACAATTTTCTTAAATTAGTGACAATAAAACTTGAATTCAAGATCTTGTCCACTTTTGTACGACGTTAAACCATCTCTTCTAAACAATTTATGTTCTTAGAGAAATTACACTTTTTTTTATTTAAATACGATGTTCGACAAGCATTGTATCTAATTTCATTTTTTGACATTTATTTCAGATAGGGAAACCAAAGCTGGGATTTGGAGCTACAGCAATGACAAGAAGGATAAAGGATTTGATTTGTGGATACACATGCAGTGAAGTAGAATCAAATTTTGATTTACGGGATTATGAAATCCAATCTGATATTTGGGGATTCGATATTGCAGAAGTGATAGATGCCTATAGGAGTTTAGTATATTGTCAAGGGGTTTAAAAATGGTCATGCACTATATATTAAGATGGTATCATACATGTTTTAAGATGCAATATGTTACTTTCAATTTATGTGTGGTTTGATAATATATGAATTAAGTCTCTGTTGCATTTTTCTAGTTTCAAGAATATTAAGCATCTTTCCATTTTTCTTTTCTATTTATTTGCTCTCACACAAGAGATCATTCCCCCAAGCATGGTATGTTGGGTGCCATCCATTTTAATATGCATCATTTCTCTAGTAACAAGCATGCACTCGTCAAAGATAGATTTTATAAAACGATAGATAAATATAATTGTGATATTCTTTTAATAGAGATCTATGTGATAAAATCTCTTGCCCCGAATTGGGAATGGGGAAGAGTCGAGGAACATATACACCCCAATAGTTTCCTTAGAGTGTGTTTGGTAGGGATTTTTGGGGGAAGAATTGATTTTTGAATAGTGATATAATGGGAAATGTGTGGTTAAAAAAGAAGAAAAAAGTATTGATGTGATGAAAATATTATTTTATTGAAGAATGTGTGGTTGAAAATGAGAATTGATTTCCTTAATATCTAAAATTTTAAAAGAATTATGGATGTGTTCGATAGAAATTAAAATCAGATTAAAATTGAAAAATTAGTCGTTATTGTTGAATTTTATTAGACGAGTGAGACCCAATAACGACTATATTTTCAATTTTAATTGGATCTTAAACCCTACCAAACATGCTCTATATAATTATTTAAAAATCAAAATTCTATCCCCAAACCCATTCTAAACATTTGCTCTATCAAGGTAGTTGATGAGTAAAAAACAAAAATGGGTAAAATTTGTCTTATCCTCTTTAATTGAATCACGTTTTAGTTGGGCTATAAACGCAACATTATCTTCATACGCATTTGATAAATAAATTGGCAAATTAATAGTCTTTAACATAGAAGTCTAGATCAATCAAACCTTTGTGTTTGGATGTAATTATAGAGATTTAAATATTTTGATATATTTAGACGGTTAGATAAAAATTAAGGGCAATAATTAGTTGTTAAATTCAATGATAATATCATATAATTCAATATGTCCAGAAAAAGTAAATTATAATATCTATAAAGGTCTACTTTATGGACATTATAAAATGTACTCATCAATCTCTAAACTTCAATTTTAGACTTGTGCAAAATCAAAATATTATTAAAAATCCGTCGAGATGTGATCCAATTATAAAATTATGATTCAGGCATCCCTGAATACTAAGTTCAGATTTAAACTGCTCTCTAAGGAAACACTTAAGCGAACTCAATACTCATTTTGTAGGATGATGGATTTCAAACGCAAATACGTGATCACCACTTCAATCTCGTTAGATCCCAATGTACCGATATATTTGATCGTGTATTTTGATTTAACTCACTGGCACATCAAAGAACGTCGACTTTGCAGATAGCAAACAAATTCCTGCGGCGACTTAGGTAATCCAAAAGACATTCAAGTGTATATTAGTTTTGGTACATGATCATGCTACAAATATTAATCTACACTTATGGGCATGTCCAAGATGCTTCGAGATATACTCAATGTACCTATGTTAATACCCTGACGAAACTTTCGGTCACGATAAAGACAAATCCAATTGGTAGATTATCTAAGGTTATGAGATTATTAGGATAAAGTGTCAACCTCCAGTAAGGAGCATTATCATCTAATTAAGGAGAAAGAGTTGAACAACTAAATCGAAATTATGTCCAAATTTATACACACATAAACAATTAACTTGTTAAATATAAAATTTGCACCATCTTAAACTTTAAAAACAACAATTTGGACATACAAAAAACAAGAAAAGGAAGAGAGCAGTAGAAGAGGTGTTGTACTACGGAAGATGTTAACTTAGTTGAAAGTTGGTTATTAGGGTTCAAGAACGCAAGGTTTTCTTACTTTTTAGGATAAGAAGGGATAGAGAAAATGTCTTGAATCAATGTTCAAGCATATTAATTTATAAAACACATCACCACACGTGGCGTTAATTATAAAAAATATTTTAATAATTGCTTGTTACAAATATTATAGAATGCGGATAAAATTTGGAAACTTAGACATTAGTAATTAGGGCAGTCCAAGTGATGGGAAACCCATTTTTTCAAATTAGATAATACAAATATGAATAAATATTTCTAGTTAAAAATTGTTGAAACATTGACATTAAAGTTGTCAGTTTTCGTGTTTCTTGATTTTCTAGGAGTCAAATGCAGTGGTTGCTTTTTTGTAGGGTCGGACAAAACTTTCGAATCGAACCGGATCGAACTGAACCTGAACCCAACTGAACCGAATCGAGCGGTACTTCATAAGTTAAATACCCGAACGGGTATCTGAATTGAGAACCGATGTATTTGGTTCGATTCTTAAGTTCTTGGTTGGTTCTTGGTTCTAGACAAAGAACCGAAAAATTGAATAAGAATCGAGTCTATGCCTAGCTAGCGCAACCCAACCCAATCTCTAAATTCAATTTTTTGACCCACTATTAATTTCATTGCTAGCACAAGATCTAGGCCTTTTTAATTTTTTATCATTCCCTTTCCAATTTCATACTTTCGTTCGATATTTTCAATCTCCTTTCTGGTTAATAAAATTTAAATGTTGTATTGGAAGGGAAAAGATTGTATGCAAAAAACTTGCTATTTTAGCTGTTTTTACTAGATGGAATTCAAAACTCTTAATGTTAAATAGTGCACTTAATTTGTAAGAGTTACGAACGAACAAGTCATTAGTTGTATTTATGTAGTATTGCTGTAAATGTTAAAAAATTTAATTATGGTACGGAACGGAACCGAACCGAATCGAACGGAACCAAAGCCGAACTGTTCCATAATTATATTTGGACCTGATGATTCCATTTATTAAATACTCAAAAATTTTGGTTCAATTCGATTCTGAAGAGAACCGAACCCGAATCATGTCCAACCCTAATTTTTTGCACTTTTGTTGCTTGCTGATTGCTCTAACATCAAGTTACGGCTCTTTGCATAAGAAACTACATATACTTTCTTGATTTAATGTTTTCTTTTGGTCCAATGTCAAATTACGTCAAAAGTTGGCATGATTGAATAGAATTAAATAATAGAAATGTGTAATGGAAATTGTGACTTTATTATTGTCCAGGCTATTAAATTTGTCATTAGTAATTTTTGTAAAATATGTGAAGAAGTAACATATATTAATGAAAAGAAGGGACTGAAAAGATGGTAATCATAAATTTACTTTTTTGAAATATAAGCTATTAAGTAAGCGATGTCTTACAGATTGTCTCAAAAATATAAGCAGGAATTACGAATTGCCTCGAAAGATAGATACTGTACATAATTTTCGAAATTTTGGCAACATCTCCTCTCTCGTGAAAAGCCTTTAATTTATGTAAGCGCCTTAATTTGAATGTTGAGTTGTTCTGAAGACACTGAAGTGATGCTTCAATTTTGCTGAAATTTAATGTAGAGACAAGGCTCTGAAGTTGTGAAGCGATGCTTCAATTTTACTAAAATTTGAATTTTATGCTGAGTGGAGATGAAGGATTTTTAAAGGTCATCTTCGGAGGTTTAAATATAAGCTCTTTTGTTTTTTTTTTTTTTTTTTTAAAGTTTGAGAGTCTTCCCTCATGGTTTTTTGTAAATAGGAGGCACGTGCTATTCACTTCGACGATTTAGGGGGTGGTCCTCTTTGGGATCTAGCTCTTCGTTGAAGTGTCCACGCTTTCTACATGTTGGATGGTTCATCCATGTAGAAGCTTGTCCATGACTTTTTGTACATGAGAGGTATGTGCTACCCGTTTCGACGAATTAGGAAGTTGTCCCTTTTGGAATCCAACTCTTTGCCGAAATGGTCACACTTTCTTGCATTGTGAATGGTTCGTCCATGCAGAGGCTTTTCTCATGCCTTTTGTCAATGGAGGCATGTGCTATCCACTTTAATGAATTAGGAGTAGAAGTAGGCAAAACCCAATGGATCATGCTACTTGTACATTTTTTTTTTCACTAAGTTTGACATTGTGCCACATGTCGCATCATGATTAGCCATTTTTTTTTACACTAAGTTTGACATTGTGCCACATGTCGCATCATGATTAGCCAATTTTTAAACATTATACACTTCCCCGCCAACAACACTTTGAATTTTCAAAACATGTCAAACTTCATATCAACAAAAGAATGTACAAATGGTTTAATCCAAACCCAATCGAACCGAATATTCCAAATGTTACCAGACACCTATGCATTGGGCTCATGGTTTTCCTAGAAACCATGGAATATTTGACATCAAGTAAATAATCGAACGAACTGTATGAAATGACGAAGTCGTCTTGGTGGGGTCTTTGCCGAAATAAGACGTGCGTAACTTGTTTTCATTCTGAAATTTATTATTAAAATGTCTGAATAATGCGCAGTGGCATTAATTCGTTAATGTTAAAATATTCAAGACTTTTATGATGTTTGAAGATAACAAATTGGAGTCTAAATTTTTTTGTCTGGTTCGATCATTGTTTATAAATGTCAAATCACAGTCAAATGCAAATGGAATCGTATGTTGGCTTTATGAAAATCAAATGCCGGAAAGTTGGGAATAATGAGAGATTTTTTTCCTTCATAGAAACTGTTGGTGGTCCAATAGTTGATATTTAGAAATGGATTCAATATTGGGGAACCACTAATTAGCGTAGAAAACGAGTGGCAGATTTGAATATCAACACATGAATTTCTAGGTTTAATTCTGTTGACCCCCCAAAAATTGTATCAAACGTGGCCAATAGATGTCAAGAACTTCTTATATCTACGTAGAAAGGGTCGGGTTGAGGAAAAGGTGGTGATCTCGCTTAAAATAGTAGAAGTTTGTTTCGCAAGCATATTGGATAGAAAATTTAGAGTTGCATTATCCTGAATAGTGCTAAAGGTGGGTTTTCATACTTGAGTATGAAGGATGAAGCCCATTGGATGATAGGACACATGGCTTCATCAGATTAACTAGACCTTCTTG